ACAATAACTTCTGTTTAAATACAACATGAAAGGGAGAATGACATTTGAACAAGAGAAGCAGCAATTAAACAAGGAAAATAACACAGAAGATGAAAACAAGAACAAACAACTCACCAGTCTGCTCTTCCACAAATAGCAACAACAACTAAATGTCCATAATGAATTTAAAATCAAACAACAAACAACTGAAAAAGAATCCCAGAAAAAACCTGGGCAAATCTTAGAACATGTGAAACCACAAACGCTTTATAATAAATTCTTTAACACAGAACTTACCAGGGAAATATAACAAACAGATCATTGTTTCTGTAACATGAAAGTTGAACAAGATATGACACTTCAAAATGACCAGGACAATAGACTTCCCTCATGTTTACAAGCCCAAATATATACTTGATAGTTAAATACATCAATAACATTGATAAATATATTGAGATGAACAGTTTGGGATGACACAAAACTGGCACTTGACAAATGCGCACATTGTGGATACGGTGACATGACATACACAAAGTTAGCAGTGGAACACAAAAATAGATATTTGTTTAATAGCAAACAATCACTGTACATATGATATATCCTCACATAGTTTCTACCTCCTTTTACATGGTCATTATAGTTCGTTCAATGTAAGACATCATTTCTAACTTTCTGTTAGTCACAATTATAAATATTTCTGACTCATAATTGACAATTATTTTTAAATCTTTCTGTTAGTCATAATTGTAAAGATTTCTGACTCCTAATTTACCACTGTTGAGAATTGTGGTCTGTATGTATGTATGGATTTTATGATGGATTTGAACTCAACTGTCTGGTGTTAAGGAATAAAACAAAGTAATCAAATTGGCTGAGGCCAAAAAAATAGTACAACTCCATACTTATATAAATTTGCTGAGAGATACCTCGAACTCTCAGTAGATTTGATTGTTGATGCTGAATCGACTTGGTTGGTAAAACTGTCTGCATTAGAAGTAGTGATATACTTGAACACTGGAGGCTGGTGGATTCTCCTAGTATTGTGGGATGTCCCATTGACGTGTCTTGTCTTGGCTTGTAATTGTTTTACTGGACTAACCTAAACTGTCAGGGAAATGGAACATCAGGGAAGACAATCAGGTCATGGAATATACACAAAACAATGTAGCATATTACTGAGATTGTGTCTTCTTCTTCTTCAAGTTCACCAGCTGTAAACTCCTGCAGTTCGCCCACTTCTGGACTGTAGTCTTTTCCCAAAACCTCAGTGCTGCAGGCAAATCTGTTCTATAGATCTGGCTTATTTGTATGAAGACTGCCTGTCAGGCCCCCACTGATCTGACTATGTTGTACACACATACATATGTGTCTGAATTCCCACATATGTCAGTAATCTGACTCGAAACACATGTTCAAGATGGTTTGATTTGCTGTTTTTGTATGTAATTTAGAATTGGTTCTGTGCCGACTGTTTATCTTAAGATTTTATTCCTGCTTTTATATTTTCTAGTGGTGTACACACACACACACACACACACACACACACACAAAGATGCCAAAATGTGGGAGAGAATTTTATAATAATGCTGCCTTTAGAACTATGGAAAAAATGGACTTTATAATGATGCCTGTTTTTAGAACTATGTGGAAAAAATGGACTTTATAATGATACCTGTTATTAGCAGAAGCACGGAAGGCCAGATACATTTTAAAATCTATCTCAATGGGAATATGAAAGCACCGTGCCAGCAAACAACATACCAGCCACTGAACACAACTGACTGTGAGAAGTAAAGCCTGACTTTTCTGTGCTCACAGATCAGCCTGCGAAACAAGCATGAAGACGTACTCTGTACTGTGTGCATTCCTCATGGATGACTTTCATATCTAAAGCCCTGTATACTCGGATAAACTTGTCTTTCTGCTTATAAACATTTCTTCTCTCTCAGTTCATGAGCTGTAAACTCCAGCAGAAAGTTCTGGATGTTTGTCCACCTCTGGACTTTGGTCTTGTTCCAGAACCTGAGTTGCATGTTCATCCATTTTACAGATATGACATACTGATATGCAGCCTGTTGGTTTCTTGCCTCTCAAGCAGATTCACGGAGCTCCCTGTGAGTCGACTCCTACAACATGCTTGCAGGGCAGGTAGTGGGTCTATCCCAGTGTTGTCCACAATGGGGTTCAGGCCCCCCTCCCCCCTCATACAGGCAGGAAACATTCCAGGAGAACTTGTTTACACTGTCTGCAGGATGAGTACACAATGTTTTGTGTTGAGTTTGCATCTTGTACACAATGTTTAGTCTTGAGTCCACATCTTGTACACAACATTTAGTCTTGAGTTCACATCTTGTACACAACATTTAGTCTTGAGTTCACATCTTGTGCACAATGTTTGGTCTTGAGTTTGCATCTTGTATACAACATTTAGTTTTGAGTTCACATCTTGTACACAATGTTTAGTCTTGAGTTCACATCTTGTACACAATGTTTAGTCTTGAGTTCACATCTTACACACAATGTTTAGTCTTGAGTTCAAATCTTCGTCGAGGCAACTTTTTAACTGACCTTGGTCCCTAGGTGGACCTAGCCAGGAGTGGGTACCGGGAAAAGTCCTGGGAAGTAAAGGCATCTAGCATGATGCTGACCATATCACCCGCCCAGTGCCAATTGATCTATTAAATATAGGTCTAGCCCTCGGTGCCCCATATGCAAGAAGGCGTGGGAAAGAGTGTGTTTACCTTATGCGCTACATGCCTAAAGTTCTTTACTTTACGTGTTTATATGATCCTGATGTTTGTCTGCTGGATTCAAGACACAGGCCAACGAGGTGCTGTCCCATCCCCACATAGGACTCAAGGTTACTTATTGTACCTGCAGAGTTCCGTAAGAAAGCAACTGTTTACTAACTGTATCTGGGATTTGTTCCTGTTGGACTGGCATCTGAATAGTGGCTTTTTGAGTCACTGGGTGTGGAAACTCCAGATTGTAATCCCCAAGAGAAGATTGAAGTAAACATACAGACACACAGAGACTCACATGGAGTATTAATGTGACATGACACACAGAGACTCACATGGAGTATTAATGTGACATAACACACAGTGACTCACATGGAGTATTAATGTGACATGACACACAGAGACTCACATGAAGTATTAACGTGACATGACACACAGTGACTCACATGGAGTATTAATGTGACATGACACACAGAGACTCACATGAAGTATTAACGTGACATGACACACAGAGACTCACATGAAGTATTACGTGACATGACACACAGAGACTCACATGAAGTATTAACGTGACATGACACACAGAGACTCACATGAAGTATTAATGTGACATGACACACAGAGACTCACATGAAGTATTAACGTGACATGACACACAGAGACTCACATGAAGTATTAACGTGACATGACACACAGAGACTCACATGAAGTATTAATGTGACATGACACACAGTGACTCACATGGAGTATTAATGTGACATGACACACAGAGACTCACATGGAGTATTAATGTGACATGACACACAGAGACTCACATGAAGTATTATGTGACATGACGCACAGAGACTCACATGAAGTATTAATGTGACATGACGCACAGTGACTCACATGGAGTATTAATGTGACATGACACACAGAGACTCACATGAAGTATTAATGTGACATGACGCACAGAGACTCACATAAAGTATTACGTGACATGACACACAGAGACTCACATGAAGTATTAACGTGACATGACACACAGTGACGTCACATGAAGTATTAATGTGACATGACACACAGTGACTCACATGAAATATTAATGTGACATGACACACAGAGACTCACATGGAGTATTAATGTGACATGACACACAGAGACTCACATGGAGTATTAATGTGACATGACACACAGTGACTCACATGGAGTATTAATGTGACATGACACACAGAGACTCACATGGAGTATTAATGTGACATGACACACAGAGACTCACATGAAGTATTATGTGACATGACGCACAGAGACTCACATGAAGTATTAATGTGACATGACGCACAGTGACTCACATGGAGTATTAATGTGACATGACACACAGAGACTCACATGAAGTATTAATGTGACATGACGCACAGAGACTCACATAAAGTATTACGTGACATGACACACAGAGACTCACATGAAGTATTAACGTGACATGACACACAGTGACGTCACATGAAGTATTAATGTGACATGACACACAGTGACTCACATGAAATATTAATGTGACATGACACACAGAGACTCACATGGAGTATTAATGTGACATGACACACAGTGACTCACATGGAGTATTAATGTGACATGACACACAGTGACTCACATGGAGTATTAATGTGACATGACACACAGAGACTCACATGGAGTATTAATGTGACATGACACACAGAGACTCACATGGAGTATTAATGTGACATGACACACAGAGACTCACATGAAGTATTAACGTGACATGACACACAGAGACTCACATGGAGTATTAACGTGACATGACACACAGAGACTCACATGGAGTATTAATGTGACATGACACACAGAGACTCACATGAAGTATTAACGTGACATGACACACAGTGACTCACATGAAGTATTAATGTGACATGACACACAGTGACTCACATGAAATATTAACGTGACGTGACATACAGAGACTCACATAAAGTATTAACATGACATGACATACAGAGACTCACATGAAGAATTAACGTGACATGACACACAGAGACTCACATGAAGTATTAACGTGACATGACACACAAACTCACATGAAGTATTAACGTGACATGACATACAGAGACTCACATGAAGTATTAACGTGACACGACACACAGAGACTCACATGAAGTATTAACGTGACACGACACACAGAGACTCACATGGAGTATTAATGTGACATGACACACAGAGACTCACATGAAGTATTAATGTGACATGACACACAGAAACTCACATGAAGTATTAACGTGACATGTGTCCTCACTCTCCGTTTGCCACCGGCTCTTTCTTCTCTTCGCCCCCAGGTGTGCCTTCAGCATTGGCACTGGCTTCTGGAGCTTTCTTCTCTGGGGACTGCAACATTCAACATGGTCAAGCAGGTAAACTCACATCTCTGCTCCACATCGACATATACATTTAGGAGTAGTTCACATTCTAACAAATGTTCCAGATCTGAATTACGTAATACTGCTGTATTCTAAATCCAAATGTACGTTCCAGATCTTGATTCATAAGGTTAGTTGCGTATCCTTTACAGTACATTGCAGAACCAAACCCAGCAGCCCCTGGCTGTTTTGTGGTTTCTCTAGGCAAATTTACATCCAGTAGTTTGCCATTGCTTTCTGAGTCTGATACCACGGCTCGCAGCTGGGATCGAACCCGGCACCCCGGCATTATGAAGCATTCGCATCGACTTAGCCACAGAGCCGACAATTCATAAATAAGTCAATAATTTGACTGCAAACACCATCTGGATCTGAATTTCTAAATATGTCAGTAATATAACTTGAAACATGTTTCAGCTGTGATTTCCTACTTATGTCACTAATGTGACATGAAACATATGTGTCAGAAATCTGACTTGAAACATACGTTTCAATTTTATATCCCATATATGTCACTAACATGACTTAAAAGTGTTCCAGGCCTGAATTCCCACATTTGTCAGTAATCTGGCTTGAAACTTATTTCCGATTTGAATTTTCATATATGTCAGTAATCTGGCTTGAAACATGTTTCAGGATCTAATTTTCATTTATGTCAGTAATCTGGCTTGAAACGCATGTTTCAGATTTGAAATCTCACACATGTCAGTGATGTGGCTTGAAATATATGTTTCAGATTTGAATTTCCACACATGTCAGTAATCTGGCTTGAAACACATGTTTCAGATTTGAATGCCCACACATGTCAGTAATCTGGCTTGAAACACATGTTTCAGATTTGAATGCCCACACATGTCAGTAATCTGGCTTGAAACATATTTTTCAGATTTGAATTCCCACATATGTCAGTAATCTGGCTTGAAACACATGTTTCAGATTTGAATTCCCACACATGTCAGATTTTCTGCTGTAAAAAGTCTCATATGCAATTCGGTCTGGATGGATTCTCACTAGATGGCCCAACTATTTCATTCTTTGGACCGGCCTGACATTCTGAAGGCTCTCAAGAAGGCAGGAGGAGAAGATGATTCAGGAGACGATGCTGAATTAGCAACACTCAAAAGACTACAAGAACTGCAGATCAAAAGAGGTGTTGCAAAACATGAACACTATACAGGTAGCCAAAGAAGAAGAATAAACCAACACAGAACTGATGTTATCTGTTGCCACACGCTGGGGGATATGCTGAAGATGGGATCTGAGCGCTTATGAACTTGTCAAATGTGAAATAAGGACAATCTTTTAGTTAACTAACCAGCCAACTAACTATTTCATAACTAACCAGCCAACTAACTATTTCATAACTAACCAGCCAACTATTTCATAACTAACCAGCCAACTATATTTCATAACTAACCAGCCAACTATTTCATAACTAACCAGCCAACTATTTCATAACTAACCAGCCAACCAACTATTTCATAACTAACCAGCCAACCAACTATTTCATAACTAACCAGCCAACTAACTATTTCATAACTAACCAGCCAACTATTTCATAACTAACCAGCCAACTATTTCATAACTAACCAGCCAACTATTTCATAACTAACCAGCCAACAACTATTTCATAACTAACCAACTAACTATTTCATAACTAACCAGCCAACTATTTCATAACTAACCAGCCAACAACTATTTCATAACTAACCAGCCAACCAACTATTTCATAACTAACCAGCCAACTATTTCATAACTAACCAGCCAACTATTTCATAACTAACCAGCCAACTATTTCATAACTAACCAGCCAACTATTTCATAACTAACCAGCCAACTAACTATTTCATAACTAACCAGCCAACTATTTCATAACTAACCAGCCAACTAACTATTTCATAACTAACCAGCTAACTATTTCATAACTAACCAGCCAACAACTATTTCATAACTAACCAGCCAACTATTTCATAACTAAACTAACCATAACTAACCAACTAACTATTTCATAACTAACCAGCCAACTAACTATTTCATAACTAACCAGCCAACTATTTCATAACTAACCAGCCAACTAACTATTTCATAACTAACCAGCCAACTATTTCATAACTAACCAGCCAACTATTTCATAACTAACCAGCCAACTATTTCATAACTAACCAGCCAACTATTTCATAACTAACCAGCCAACTATTTCATAACTAACCAGCCAACTAACTATTTCATAACTAACCAGCTAACTATTTCATAACTAACCAGCCAACTATTTCAGCCAACTATTTCATAACCAGCCAACTACTATTTCATAATAACTAACCAGCCAACTATTTCATAACTAACCAGCCATAACTAAAACTATTTCATAACTAACCAGTCAACTAACTATTTCATAACTAACCAGCCAACTATTTCATAACTAACCAGCCAACTAACTATTTCATAACTAACCAGCCAACTATTTCATAACTAACCAGCCAACTATTTCATAACTAACCAGCCAACTATTTCATAACTAACCAGCCAACTATTTCATAACTAACCAGCCAACTAACTATTTCATAACTAACCAGCTAACTATTTCATAACTAACCAGCCAACTATTTCATAACTAACCAGCCAACTATTTCATAACTAACCAGCCAACTATTTCATAACTAACCAGCCAACTATTTCATAACTAACCAGTCAACTAACTATTTCATAACTAACCAGCCAACTATTTCATAACTAACCAGCCAACTAACTATTTCATAACTAACCAGCCAACTATTTCATAACTAACCAGCCAACTATTTCATAACTAACCAGCCAACTATTTCATAACTTCATAACTAACCAGCCAACTATTTCATAACTAACCAGCCAACTATTTCATAACTAACCATTTCATAACTAACAACTATTTCATAACTAACCAGCCAACTAACTATTTCATAACCAACCAACTATTTCATAACTAACCAGCCAACTATTTCATAACTAACTAACCAGCCAACTATTTCATAACTAACCAGCCAACTAACTATTTCATAACTAACCAGCATAAACTATTTCATAACTAACCAGCCCAACTATTTCATAACTAACCAGCCAACTATTTCATAACTAACCAACTAACTATTTCATAACTAACCAGCCAACTATTTCATAACTAACCAGCCAACTATTTCATAACTAACCAGCCAACTATTTCATAACTAACCAGCCAACTAACTATTTCATAACTAACCAGCCAACTAACTATTTCATAACTAACCAGCCAACTAACTATTTCATAACTAACCAGCCAACTAACTATTTCATAACTAACCAGCCAACTAACTATTTCATAACTAACCAGCCAACTAACTATTTCATAACTAACCAGCCAACTAACTATTTCATAACTAACCAGCCAACTAACTATTTCATAACTAACCAGCCAACTAACTATTTCATAACTAACCAGCCAACTAACTATTTCATAACTAACCAGCCAACTAACTATTTCATAACTAACTAACCAGTCAACTATTTCATAACTAACCAGCCAACTAACTATTTCATAACTAACTAACCAGTCAACTATTTCATAACTAACTAACCAGCCAACTATTTCATAACTAACCAGCCAACTATTTCATAACTAACCAGCCAACTATTTCATAACTAACCAGCCAACTATTTCATAACTAACCAGCCAACTATTTCATAACTAACCAGCCAACTAACTATTTCATTCTTTGTTTGTCACATTGCAACTTTCTCTATGATGCTGGTATTCACGACCCTGTCTAGTGTTGTTGGTGACCTTGCGGAGACAATGCATCTGTCAGGTAGTTGTTTTCTGTTCTAGTGCCCCATTCAATGTCCATGTTTGGCACTTATAGCATAAAGTAGGGATCAAAATGCTGATAATTGTTTGCTGGAAGAGAGATATTTGAGTGTCTAAGCAGTGTGGCTAACTGGTAGGTAACAACATTTGCATTCTGTATTCTGGCTTCTATCTCTCTTTTGAGGCTGCCATCCTCCATAAGTATGCCTCCAAGGTATTTGAATTCTTTTACTTGTTCTGTTTTAATAGCCTTAACATGAGCATTCGTTCATGTCATTATGTTTCCTCAGTTTTCGCGGTGTTTATTCTCATTTAATACCCTGTGCAGGTTTTGGGGTCACTACAGTGTGGTAAATTATGTTGTTGATGGTGTATTAGACATGGCTCGTCTGCAAAAAAAGAAGTTCATTGATTTCTTCAGTGTCTATATAATTGTAATTGTAATTTTATCAGTGTAAGTAATGAAGAGCAATGATGAGAGGACACATCCCTGTTTGACACGTGATAAAATGGGGAACCAATCTGTCATTCCTTCTGCTGTTCTTTCTGCTGTACCTAACTGTTTATCTTAAACACCACAATCATCTCAGTCATCTAGGATTTCCCATACATTGCGTGAACTGATTCGATGCACTATCTCTGACTTTCTGCTGTACTTTGTCATGGATCTTGACAAAGATAAGTTAATGTCTGTTACCCAACAGTTTGGAACACCACAATCATCTCAGTCATCTAGGATTTCCCATACATTGCATGAATTGACTCGATGCACCACTGACTGACATGAGAGAAAAGATACTTGATGTCTTCATATTTCAATGATGAACTTGCAGCAACTGACGCCAGCAGCAGGTCTTACCTTTGGTCTTGGTTCTGCAGTTGGGTCTAGGATAATTTTGCCTACATTCTTGCGATCACACAGCTTCTGCATGGCCTCACCAACCTGCAACATATCCACATGAAAATCTCACAGCTCCACATGGATATCATTCATCATACATTTATGCAGCTATAAATGTCTTACATCTATAAATGTATTGGTGCTAACTTTTCTTTGGAGTAAACAAAACAGGCTGAGAGAGAAGAATCTTTATCTCTGGCCTTATTTCATTCTGCCATGACCTGTAATTACCCAAACCTACGTATGGACAGGAGGAACTCCTGGCCTCTGGTTCAGCCGTGACCTGTGATTCCCCAAGCCTCGGTATGGAAAGGAGGAACTCCTGGCCTCTGGTTCAGCCATGACCTGTGATTCCCCAAGCCTCGGTATGGACAGGAGGAACTCCTGGCCTCTGGTTCAGCGGTGACCTGTGATTCCCCAAGCCTCGGTATGGACAGGAGGAACTCCTGGCCTCTGGTTCAGCCGTGACCTGTGATTCCCCAAGCCTCGGTATGGACAGGAGGAACTCCTGGCCTCTGGTTCAGCCGTGACCTGTGATTCCCCAAGCCTCCTACTGAGAGAAGGATCTCTGGCCTTATTTGGTGCAGACATGGGCTATGATTCTTAAACCACCCGGTAGAACCCCCCCCCCCCTCCCCTCACACCCCTACCCCCCATTCCCCCCCCCAGAAACCCCAGGTCAGCAAAACATATGTAAGGGGTCTGTGATATCATTCACAGCAACAGAAACTCCAGATACACAACAAGACATTTTAGAATGAAATCCTTTTAGCGATTCTTTAATAAACTGTCTCTTCTTTGAATATAACTTTTGAAAAGTATGGGGTCCATGACAGAGCTTGGCAAATATGTGGGGCCACAGGTCTGAGCTAATTAGGGAACCAATGAGTTCAGTTAATATCTGTCTGAGACTCACTGGGAACCAATGAGTTAAGTTAATGTCTGCCTGAGACTCACTGGGAACCACTGAGTTAATGTCTGCCTGAGACTCACTTGGAACCAATATGTTAAGTTAATGTCTGTCTGAGACTCACTGGGAACCACTGAGTTAAGTTAATGTCTGTCTGAGACTCACTGGGAACCACTGAGTTAAGTTAATGTTTCTCTGAGACTCACAGTTATATGCTTCTTCTGCATTTGCCCTTAAAATAGCAGTTGGCATGGTGTTTTATGGTTTACAGCTAGGCTGTGCTATCTCACCTTTTGGCAACACATATGATTTCAGTAAAACCTCTAATTTAGGAGCCTTTCAAAACGTGCTTGCTGGGGATAGGGGTTTGGTGGCTCTGTAACATGGGCCCCTGGCACCCACAAAGGGACAAGTAAAATCATGTCTGTCTAAGGCTCAAAGAGAGAACCAGGCAAGCTCAAATTAGCAAGACAACCAGACAATGATACTCACCTCATCAAAGAGAGAGAGACAGGCAAGCACACAGGAGAACACACAAGCAGACAGACAGACAGTAATGCTACATCCTCAAAGAGAGAGCAACATTCAAGCATACATGAGAACACACAAGCAGACAGACAGACACTGATGCTCACATCCTCAAAGAGAGAGCAACATTCAAGCATGCATGACAACACACAAGCAGACAGACAGACAGACAGTAATGCTACATCCTCAAAGAGAGAGCAACATTCAAGCATACATGACAACACACAAGCAGACAGACAGACAGACAGTAATGCTACATCCTCAAAGAGAGAGAGCAACATTCAAGCATACATGACAACACACAAGCAGACAGACAGACACTAATGTTCACACCCTCAAAGAGAGAGCAACATTCAAGCACACATGACAACACACAAGCAGACAGACAGACAGACACTAATGTTCACACCCTCAAAGACACAGCTACATGCAAGCACACATGAGAACACTCAAGCAGACAGACAGACAGACACTAATGTTCACACCCTCAAAGAGACAACTACATGCAAGCACACATGAGAACACTCAAGCAGACAGACACTAATGCTCACATCCTCAAAGAGACAGCTACATGCAAGCATACATGAGAACACACATGCAGACAGACAGACACTAATGCTCTCATCCTCAAAGAGACAGCTACATGCAAGCATACATGAGAACACACAAGCAGACAGACAGACACTAATGCTCACATCCTCAAAGAGAGAGCAACATTCAAGCATACATGAGAACACTCAAGCAGACAGACAGACACTAATGCTCACACCCTCAAAGAGAGAGCAACATTCAAGCATACATGAGAACACTCAAGCAGACAGACAGACACTAATGTTCACATCCTCAAAGAGACAACTACATGCAAGCATACACGAGAACACACAAGCAAACAGACAGACACTAATGCTCACACCCTCAAAGAGAGAGCAACATTCAAGCATACATGAGAACACACAAGCAGACAGACAGAAACTAATGCTCACACACTCAAAGAGAGAGCAACATTCAAGCATACATGAGAACACTCAAGCAGACAGACAGACAGACACTAATGCTCTCATCCTCAAAGAGACAACTACATGCAAGCACACATGAGAACACTCAAGCAGACAGACAGACAGACACTAATGTTCACACCCTCAAAGAGACAGCTACATGCAAGCATACATGAGAACACTCAAGCAGACAGACAGACACTAATGTTCACATCCTCAAAGAGACAGCTACATGCAAGCATACATGAGAACACTCAAGCAGACAGACAGACACTGAAGCTCACATCTTCAAAGAGACAGCTACATGCAAGCATACATGAGAACACACAAGCAGACAGACAGACACTAATGCTCACATCCTCAAAGAGAGAGCAACATTCAAGCATACATGAGAACACTCAAGCAGACAGACAGACACTAATGCTCACATCCTCAAAGAGAGAGCAACATTCAAGCATACATGAGAACACTCAAGCAGACAGACAGACACTAATGCTCACATCCTCAAAGAGAGAGCAACATTCAAGCATACATGAGAACACTCAAGTAGAAAGACAGACACTAATGTTCACATCCTCAAAGAGACAACTACATGCAAGCATACATGAGAACACACAAGCAGACAGACAGAAACTAATGCTCACACACTCAAAGAGACAGCTACATGCAAGCATACATGAGAACACTCAAGCAGACAGACAGACAGACACTAATGCTCACATCCTCAAAGAGACAGCTACATGCAAGCATACATGAGAACACTCAAGCAGACAGACAGACAGACACTAATGCTCACATCCTCAAAGAGACAGCTACATGCAAGCATACATGAGAACACTCAAGCAGACAGACAGACAGACACTAATGCTCACATCCTCAAAGAGACAGCTACATGCAATCATACATGAGAACAATCAAGCAGACAGACAGACAGACACTAATGTTCACACCCTCAAAGAGACAACTACATGCAAGCATACATGAGAACACTCAAGCAGACAGACAGACAGACACTAATGTTCACACCCTCAAAGAGACAGCTACATGCAAGCATACATGAGAACACTCAAGCAGACAGACAGACACTAATGTTCACACCCTCAAAGAGACAACTATATGCAAGCATTCATGAGAACACTCAATCAGACAGACAGACACTAATGCTCACATCCTCAAAGAGACAGCTAAATGCAAGCATACATGAGAACACTCAAGCAGACAGACAGACACTAATGCTCACATCTTTAAAGAGACAGCTACATGCAAGCACACATGAGAACACTCAAGCAGACAGACAGACACTAATGCTCACATCCTCAAAGAGACAGCTACATGCAAGCATACATGAGAACACTCAAGCAGACAGACAGACACTAATGCTCACATCTTTAAAGAGACAGCTACATGCAAGCATACATGAGAACACTCAAGCAGACAGACAGACACTAATGTTCACACCCTCAAAGAGACAGCTACATGCAAGCATACATGAGAACACTCAAGCAGACAGACAGACAGACACTAATGTTCACATCCTCAAAGAGAGAGCTACATGCAAGCATACATGAGAACACACAAGCAGACAGACAGACAATAATGCTCACATCCTCAAAGAGAGAGAAGCAGACAGACAATGATGTTCACATCCTCAAAGAGAGAGAAGCAGACAGACAGACAGACACTAATGTTCACACCCTCAAAGAGAGAGCTACATGCAAGCATACATGAGAACACACAAGCAGACAGACAGACACTGATGTTCACATCCTCAAAGAGAGAGAAGCAGACAGACAGACAATGATGTTCACACCCTCAAAGAGAGAGCTACATGCAAGCACACATGAGAACACTCAAGCAGACAGACAGACAGACACTGAAGCTCACATCCTCAAAGGCCCAGACGGAATCAATGGTGGGCTTGATCTTGCCCTGGTTGTAGAGGTCCAGCACTTTGGAGACAACTTTGCCGATGTACTCGTAGTGGCCCTGGCGGAACAGCAGGCGCCGAAGCTGGAATCCTCCGATCAGCTTATTGTCATCATACAGCTTCAAGGGGTTGATCTTGTCCACTTGCCACCACTGGAGACAGAAAGTAGGTGATCAGAGAAGTCAGACAGTTGACTGGTTGCATTGGAAAGAGAAAAAAAAAAGGGGGAGGGGGAAGGGTGGTAATCACAGAGGTGTGGGAATCAGAGAGTTGTGTCATATGTAGAGTTTATGTGATTTGGGGGGGGGGGGTGTCAGAGTGGTGTGTTTAGTGGGGTCAGAGAGTTGTGTGACAAGTGGGGGTCAAAGAGTTGTGTAAAAAGTAGACAGTCAATCAGTTGTGTGATTAGTTGGTGGGGGCGGGGGGAGAGGTGTCCACGGAGTTGTGAATAAATAAGGGGTCAGAGAGTTGTGTGTCAAGCAAGGGGTCACAGACAAGCTGTCTGATGTGGGGGTCCCAGTTGTGTGATACGAGGGCATTAACAGGCTGTCTTATGTGGGGGTCACAGTTGTGTGATGAGTATTTTCCAAATGTCCGTTATCTTTATAACACACATTAGCAACACCATCACATTCTCTATCACATCTGTTACACTCAACATCATCAGATCATCGTCATCATCATCATCATCAAGCGCCTTGCTAGCACTGCAATGATTTTGTGGAAAGCTGTATAGGAAAGTGTACCAGAGGATCTGAGTTTGTTGGCCATGTGTGGGTTTTTGTTTTTTCTGTATAGTGTATCATATCTGGCACACATATCATCAAAAACATTCTCTATCAACTGGCATGGCAGACAATGTTTCTCCTCAAGCCATGATCTCCAATAGAGGATAACTGTGAATAGACAAAAGTATTGGCCACAGATGGACAAGCCATCACTGAGAGAAGACAGACCAGTGGTCTGCGGACCAATACTTCAACTCTGTGTCTGCTCGGAAACCAGCCATAATACCTCAACTCTGTGTCTGCTCGGAAACCAGCCATAATACCTTAACTCTGTGTCTGCTTGGAAACCAGCCATAATACCTCAACTCTGTGTCTGCTCGGAAACCAGCCATTATACCTTAACTCTGTGTCTGCTTGGAAACCAGCCATAATACCTCAACTCTGTGTCTGCTCGGAAAACCAGCCATAATACCTCAACTCTGTGTCTGCTCGGAAACCAGCCATAATACCTCAACTCTGTGTCTGCTCGGAAACCAGCCATAATACCTCAACTCTGTGTCTGCTCGGAAACCAGCCATAAAAATGTCAACAGGCTAGACAGGCCGTGGGTGATATATTCAATAAAAGTATTACAGGTGTTTGATTTGATGGAAATGTGACAAGATGGCAAGTTGTCAGAACGCCCACTTATAACTGTGAATGGACCAGGTGTTTGAAAGTTTTATAAACATAGATGTTTATGATAAACAAACCAATATGGTGTGCAATGATAAACCAATCAATACAATGTGCATGTGTAAGATAATACAGTTGTGTTCTGTCATGCTTGCTTTACATTTCATCAACAGCAGCATGTGCCTTGCCAAGTGACCTAGGCAGTTATGCATATTCTATGATGTTCTATAGAAGTTAGCGTCGACCCTTTCAATGCCTCCAGCAGGGAGGCCTTATGATGTTAGATCTATTGTCATACAGATCTAGGCTGTTCTATTAATATGGTTCAGGGGCCACAATGTTGACGATGGGCTGGGGGGGGGGGGGGGGGGGGGGGTCATCACAGGCCAGAGCTCTAGCATAGAAAGATCATTAATGCAATCACTGACCCCCCAAGTCTCTGCAGGCCAGATCCAGCCCCTGGGCCACCAGCTGAACAGCCCTGATATAGATCGGCACTTGATGGTGATGTAGTGAACATCTTGCAGGCTGCCTTTACTTCCCAGAATATCACCTTGTACCCATTTTAAGCTGGGTTGACTGGGTTTCATCAAGACCTGAACCCATGACGTTCGGATTGGCAGGTGAACATCTAGCCACTTGGCTGGTGAACATCTAGCCACTTGGCAGGTGAACATCTAGCCACTATACCATGACAGCTCCATGACAGACTGCACTTCCCAGGAAAATGGTATAACTTAGTCAATCTGGGAGTGCATGTCAGCTAGTACAGTCAGACCAGATGGGATGTCAGCTAGTACAGTCAGACCAGATGGGATGTCAGCTAATACAGTCAGACCAGATGGGATGTCAGCAAGTACAGTCAGACCAGATGGGATGTCAGCTAGTACAGTCAGACCAGATGGGATGTCAGCAAGTACAGTCAGACCAGATGGGATGTCAGCTAGTACAGTCAGACCAGATGGGATGTCAGCTAGTACAGTCAGACCAGATGGGATGTCAGCTAGTACAGTCAGACCAGATGGGATGTCAGCAAGTACAGTCAGACCAGATGGGATGTCAGCAAGTACAGTCAGACCAGATGGGATGTCAGCTAGTACAGTCAGACCTGATGGGATGTCAGCTAGTACAGTCAGACCAGATGGGATGTCAGCTAGTACAGTCAGACCAGATGGGATGTCAGCTAGTACAGTCAGACCAGATGGGATGTCAGCTAGTACAGTCAGACCAGATGGGATGTCAGCTAGTACAGTCAGACCAGATGGGATGTCAGCTAGTACAGTCAGACCAGATGGGATGTCAGCAAGTACAGTCAGACCAGATAGGATGTCAGCAAGTACAGTCAGACCAGATGGGATGTCAGCTAGTACAGTCAGACCAGATGGGATGTAAGCTAGTACAGTCAGACCAGATGGGATGTAAGCTAGTACAGTCAGACCAGATGGGATGTCAGCAAGTACAGTCAGACCAGATGGGATGTCAGCAAGTACAGTCAGACCAGATGGGATGTCAGCTAGTACAGTCAGACCAGATGGGATGTCAGCTAGCACAGTCAGACCAGATGGGATGTCAGCTAGCACAGTCAGACCAGATGGGATGTCAGCTGTGACCTCTAGGTGAGGAAGCTAGTCACTGTGGCTCCCAACACTTGTCAATGCTGTGATAACTACTAACATCATCACACACACAACAATAACAACTAACATCATCACGCACACAACAATAACTATATTGAAACTACTAACAGCATCACACATACAACAATAACTATATTGAAACTACTAACAGCATCACACATACAACAATATTTTGTAACTACTAACATCATTACACACACAACAATAACTATATTGAAACTACTAACAGCATCACACATACAACAATAACTATATTGAAACTACTAACAGCATCACACATACAACAATATATTGTAACTACTAACATCATCACGCACACATCAATAACTATATTGTAACTACTTACATCATCACGCACACATCAAAAACTATATTGTAACTACTAACATCATCACGCACACATCAATAACTATATTGTAACTACTTACATCATCACGCATACAGCAATAACTATACTGAAACTACTAACATCATCACACACACAACAATAACTATATTGTAACTACTTACATCATCACGCATACAGCAATAACTATATTGAAACTACTAACATCATCACCCACACACAACAATAACTATATTGTAACTACTTACATCATCACGCACACAGCAATAACTATATTGTAACTACTTACATCATCACGCACACAACAATAACTATATTGTAACTACTTACATCATCACGCACACAACAATAACTATATTGTAACTACTTACATCATCACGCATACAGCAATAACTATATTGAAACTACTAACATCATCACACACACAACAATAACTATATTGTAACTACTTACATCATCACGCACACAGCAATAACTATATTGAAACTACTAACATCATCACACACACAACAATAACTATATTGTAACTACTTACATCATCACGCACACAGCAATAACTATATTGTAACTACTTACATCATCACGCATACAGCAATAACTATATTGAAACTACTAACATCATCACACACACAACAATAACTATATTGTAACTACTTACATCATCAGGCATACAGCAATAACTATATTGAAACTACTAACATCATCACGCATACAGCAATAACTATATTGTAACTACTTACATCATCACACACACAACAATAACTATATTGTAACTACTTACATCATCACGCACACATCAATAACTATATTGTAACTACTTACATCATCACGCATACAGCAATAACTATATTGTAACTACTTACATCATCACGCATACAGCAATAACTATATTGAAACTACTAACATCATCACACACACACAACAATAACTATATTGTAACTACTTACATCATCACGCACACAGCAATAACTATATTGTAACTACTTACATCATCACGCACACAACAATAACTATATTGTAACTACTTACATCATCACGCACACAACAATAACTATATTGTAACTACTTACATCATCACGCATACAGCAATAACTGTATTGAAACTACTAACATCATCACACACACAACAATAACTATATTGTAACTACTTACATCATCACACACACAACAATAACTATATTGTAACTACTTACATCATCACGCACACATCAATAACTATATTGTAACTACTTACATCATCACGCATACAGCAATAACTATATTGAAACTACTAACATCATCACACACACAACAATAACTATATTGAAACTACTTACATCATCACACACACAACAATAACTATATTGTAACTACTTAGATCATCACACACACATCAATAACTATATTGTAACTACTTACATCATCACGCATACAGCAATAACTATATTGAAACTACTAACATCATCACACACACAACAATAACTATATTGTAACTACTTACATCATCACGCATACAGCAATAACTATATTGAAACTACTAACATCATCACACACACAACAATAACTATATTGTAACTACTTACATCATCACGCACACAACAATAACTATATTGTAACTACTTACATCATCACACACACAACAATAACTATATTGTAACTACTTACATCATCACGCATACAGCAATAACTATATTGAAACTACTAACATCATCACACACACAATAACTATATTGTAACTACTTACATCATCACGCACACAGCAATAACTATATTGTAACTACTAATAT